CCAAGCGAGTTCGAGCTGCTCTCGGTGCCTACCGGCATTCCCGAGTCCCTGCGCCGGCGCTTCCTCGCGTCGACGACCAAGGAGCGGCGTGACGAGCGCAAGGCGGGCCGGCTCCCGAAGCTCCGAACGTCGTTCACCGAAGCGTGGCTCCAGGATGTCTTGCCGCACTGGGGCGACGCCAAGCACCAAAAGCCCATGGCGTTTGTCCAAGGGCTTTGCTTTGCGGGGATTCCAAAGGAAGTGCGCGGCCGTGCGTGGGCCGCGCTCCTCGGCAACAAGCTCCAGATCAACGAACAGCTCTTTGAGATCTGCAAGACGCGCGCCAAAGCTGTGCTCGTCGAAGTCGCAGCGACCAAGGCGAAGGACACGCATCCGAACCGCCCGTCGCTCACGATCGACACGTCCGGGCTCGACGGCGGATTCGTCGTCGTGACGTCGCCCCAGCACGCTACATCGACGCTCACCGAGGCGCTCATCGCCGACAACGAGCGCAACATCAAGCTCGTCAAGCTCGACATGCCGCGTACCTTTGGGAGCCACCCGCAGTTCCAGGCCGGCGCGGTCGGGGCCCAAAAGACGTACGAGGTCCTCGAAGCGTACACGTGCTACCGCCCCGACCTCGGCTACGTGCAAGGTACATATGCGTGCTTGGAAGCGCAATGAAGAGTGAGAGTCGCACAGGCATGAGCTACTTGGCGGCGATTCTGTGTCTCCACATGGACAGCTTCTCCGCGTTCAAGGCCATGGTGTCGCTCCTCAGCACGCGCTTGCTCTTCGACATGTACCGTCTCGAGGAAGATCGGGTAAGCTCCGGATCGTGGTTGATACCATCTGGATACATTCGGGCTAGACACTGCATTATCTTCGCGTGTACGACACGATTCTGCAGCACGAGCTGCCGACACTCCACGCGTACTTTGAAGAGATTGGCATGGACGCCAAGATGTACGTCGTCGACTGGTGCGTGGGTCTCGTGCTTCGACGGCGATTTGATCTGCGAGGATGGACTAGGGCCTTTACGCTCTTTACGCGCTGCGTGCCCTTGGATGTCGTGCTGCGGATATGGGACGTCTACATCTTGCTCGGCACGCCCTTCTTCTTCCAAGCCTGCATGGGTACGCTTCCGAGCTGCTAGCGGACCACCAACTGTGTCTTGTAGCGATTTTGATCTTGTACGAGGAGCACTTGCTCGCGCTCGACCTGGGCGACGTCATGCGCTTCCTCCACGACATTCCCAAGGTGGGATTCTCATCGGAGCGTGTCGTCATGCTGGCGTAGAGCATGAGCCCGAGCGACTTTTTCGACGCCCTCGACGCCGTCAACCTTTCGTGCAGTGCAATCGACAGCCTCCTCGCCGGCGGGAACGTGCGCCCGTGGTCGCCGGTCGGTCGACGTCCCGTCTCTGTCGAGTTCCCCGACGCGTACGAGTACTAGAAACTAAAGGTGTAACCAAGAGGGCGAAATAGTATAGACACGGTAGAATCCCAAGAATCCGGGCGGCCTCGTTTACGCGTAGTACTGCAGCGTCGCCTTCTTCTTGGCCGACACGACACCAATGCCCTCCATAAAGTCTTCGTGCTACAGACCACACATTAGACTCGCTAGGCATCTCGATCGTACCTTGATGATCGTGGCCTCCCGACGCAGCGCAAGCATACCGGCCTCGACGCAGACCTAGCACCATGCGATGAATATATCTCATGAGATCGTGGGTTGGAGGCATACCGCCTTGAGCTGCGCGCCGTTAAAGTCGTCCGTGCAGCGTGCGAGCTCGTCAAAGTTGACGTCGTCCGTGTCGACGTTCATCTTGCGCGAGTGGATCTGCAGGATACGCGCACGGGCTTCTTCTGTCGGGTGGGGCAGCTCAATCTACATGCACATGGTCATCAATCGCCCTGCTCCATGCTCCTGGGCGCGGTGTACCTTGCGATCCAAACGACCGGAACGCAGGAGCGCCGGGTCGAGCACGTCCGGTCGGTTCGTGGCAGCAATGACCTTGATCTTCGTGTTGCTTGTAAAACCGTCGAGCTGGTTCAACAGCTCGAGCATCGTGCGCTGGACTTCGCGGTCGCCCGACTGCTCGCCACCAAAACGCTTTGTACCAATGGCGTCCAACTACGCACTTCCGTGAGCACAAAGTCCCTTCCACCTGCAACGATATGCATGTACCTCATCGATAAAGATGATGGCGCCGCCCTTGTCCTTGTCCTTTGCACTTCTCCTTGGCGAGCTCGAAGGCGTCGCGGACGAGCTATAGGAAGGACTTGGTTCAATGATGCAGCAGCAGCATAGGTATCGTACTTTGGCACCGTCACCGAT